CACAGCCACCCCAACTCTAGACACACATTCAATGAGTTCTGCTGCTCGACCCGAAATCTCCATACTGCCGGTGTAGTAGTACAGGCTCGAAGAACAAGCTGTCCACTCCGACAAAGCTGGCGCTACTAGTTGTAACCCGGGAGCCTGATTTCCCTATCGGCGAACCCATCCAAGGTTCTGCTTTCCCATTCTTTCAAGCCGAATTAGGCTTGAAAGAATGGGGAAGGCTCGAATCGATACTTGGGCCATATCTGAGCAATCACGACAGTCACTATTATGCATGATTCGTTGTTGCTTTTAGAATTCCTCACCCTCCTCCTTTTCCTCTTCTGTACGTCGTGTCATAAACCTTGGCCCCGTGCCAAGAGTTCCGAGCATTTCAACGTGGAACGTCACATACGTCTCCATGTGTGGAAAGCAAATAAAGGTGTCACCCGCCATTTATGCTAATCCGCGATCGTTCCGCCGTTCTCCATGCAGCAATGGGGCAAGGCAGGCATTTGAACTTCTTCCCGTATGGACTTTCACGGGGCACTGGGGACAAGTTGAAGGAGCTGCATTTGAACTGCTAAAATCTGAAAAGGGAATAGGCATCGCTATTACCTCCTACATATCCAATTTCTAACGAAATAGGAGGGGCAGGTATGAGAGGGCGGGGTACAAAGGATCACTATGACAGTTGGAGAGAAAACAAAAACTTTCAGCGTTATCGCATCATCATCTAGTACGACCCCTATACTTTCTTGTACTTCTTTCTCAGCTCCGACCCCATCTGATTGATTCTCCACGGCTGATTCTGTCACGCAAACTTGAACTTTGTGAAGAAATGCACACAAATGTAACTGCTCGTATGGTCTCAGTTATCTGTGTAGACGACGACTTCGATTTTTTGTAACATCTCTTGGTCATAACTTTCGTATATTTTCGCAATAAACTTTAAACTTAATATCCTTTTGTATATTTTCCACTGTTTTGGTATTAATTGACTTCATTTTTAATGATTCATTCAATAGATAATTATCGACTTGTTGCCTTCTGTGTTTCCTTTTTCATCAATAATTGGATCGTAACTGATAGAAGTTCTTATCTGTAGTCTATCTATACATCCCTATCTTACTTTGCATTCCCTTCCTTTCTCGAGCCGCAGCGACCTTCGTTCATTTTTTTCTAATGAAAATACCATTATCGCACTAAATGAACCTTCCGTCAGATCAGAAACAATTTCTTTTACTTCTCTTCTAATGAATTGACTTCTTAAACCAATTTCTCTTATGTTTTCCCTGCTGGATTAGTGTTTTCAGTGGTTCTTAGTCGATTTCGGGACGATTTTCGTTTACTCAGTGCTCTCTCATGACCCGAAACTTCTAGGTTACCATCCAAAGATCAGTGTCGATGGCGCCTGATTTGTATCAGTCGAGTGCGCGGCACATTCCTCACAGCGATGATTCGGTCATCTTCTGCTCGATTTCCCCAAATATATTTGTTCAATTCATAAAAGAACCGAAGAGTTCTGCTGGAGCACTTGCTGCAATCTCGTGGCCTTCAGTTCCCTCCGTTTGAGAGTTGGTTAATCTATTGGTACTTCGTAGTCGATTTGAAGTTTGATTGTTCAAATGTTGAAAAGTGTTGATGTCCACGTACGTTCACATCCCGTCCCGTCATGATTCATGCCAAAGCATACGTTTCATCTAACTCAAGGATGCCATGCGTGTGGAGATGAAAACAGTTGTAGACCGTCATAGACAGGCACTCCCACTGAGTCCTCGTCAATTTCTGAGGAATGGACATCAAGTCAACTCTTTGTACACATCAGATGCCATCTGATCACGTTATGTACTTTGGGGTGGGTGTGGGGAATGAGTCATGACTGCGTGAGTCGATCGGCGCACTTACCGCGCGGCTCGCCGCACGCGTCAAACGCTTGCTCTTGGCTCACCGTTCCGGTCTAGGCGCGACACCGCGGTCACTTCGGCGAAATTATGTAGCCAATGCTTTCGGGATTGTTTCTCTCAGATGTTGGAGGGATAAATTGTCTTAACACTACCGCAGGCTGCAACACTCATCAACCTTGGAGTTTCACCTAATAGGGATATCAAGTCCCTGCAAAGAGATTCTCACGGCCATTGAGGTCTAGGAGACAAGCTTTTGCCAGCTTGAGCATGTGGACCCATTCGTTATGGCTTGGGTAGTGTGATAGAAGTGACTGGTTTTTTCCATCCGCTCATGGCCTACAAACCTATCGGTACTATCCTTGCAGTACTTCAGCAGTTACGACTTCGCTGAATACAGTGATTTACGATCCATCTCCAGTTTAATTTTCCTACTGTGCAAAAGAGGGACGGTATGCATAAATCGAGAAAAGAGTAGTTATGATGTGGAAATAGCCTTCAATTCGATGATTGTGAATGTGCCGGAGACGGGGAGGATTTCAGGTACACGGTTCGGCGAGCCAGTTGGAGGTATAGATCGAGCTTGATATGAGCTCGCGAAAAAACGGGGGGTATAGCGTAGGGGCGACGAGGTAGGTGCTAAAATCCATTCGAAAGCCTGTCCACCCGTTACTCCAATCCTACATTTTTTATTCATCGAACCGCAACTTCCAATAATAACACTGAAATAGTTATGGCAAAATGAGCAGGATTGGGTAGCAGAGGATACTGGATTTGCTTTAAAAATTGATAGGATTTGATCAAGGATCTCTAGAGTGCTTATGCTTATGAGTATTCAAATAAACTAAACTTCGGGGCATCAAAGTGGTCTGAGTGGTACAACATTCCTACTATTTCTTCCCAGAGTCAATGATACTTTGTTACTGAACTTTGGATGGCATATGCAAAAATTCCTGGTCCCAAGCAGGTGCTATGTAAACGGAAGCCTTCCTTTAGTCAACAAATTCAAAAACATTAATCCACCAACAATCGAGAGCAAAAAACGCCAAGGAAGGCAAACAGTTTCATATGTATGAATTCATCAGAAAAATCCTTTTGGAATTGATAAAGCAGATAGAGAGGGCTGTATTTCGGTGGAGAATTTAGGTAGATGATGAACTACATGTTTTGTTGGGTGGGAAGCAGGCAGGCCAGTGTCGGGATCCTCCCCCTCCCCTATTCCCACCTCACATAGCGTCTAGAATTGAATTTTCTATGAGCAATTCAGTCACATGGGTTCCATTTATGGATTCCATCGCTATGAACCGTTTTTGAAATGCAAAATCGTGCTGCATTCCTAGAAGCGCTTCCCATTGATGCATCTTCCTCCTTCGTGGCTTCTTTGCCATTCTTTTTCTTCAATTTCTGAATGGAAACCTCACGCAAAAAAACCCGATTTGACAAAATTGAGATTTACAACTTCCTAAGGGAAGTTCATGTGTACGACCTGTGACATTCCACTTTTCACCAATAGTTTATCTCTTTCTGGCTGTAGTTCCTTATCAATGCTCCCACCAGAATTGTTATGAAGGTAGGAAGACGCGGTTTTTCTATTTACTTTTGTGTTCATTCTCAACTGTACGTCCAGTCATTGTTTACCACTCTGATAGTCTTACGCTGCAAGCTGATCGAACCAATCCGTATCGATCCTATTGATCGATTATCCGGGTATGCTTTATTCATCTCTTTTCCTCGTTTTTCGAAGCTTCTCGTTCTCTCGTTTTGTGGTATCGCAAATTTTGAATTGTGGCTTAATCGACGCACATTCACATCGTGGAGACGTTGTTCTTCCAGGAATTTGACATCAAGACACATCATTCCAATCATCACATATTCAACCGGTTGGCTGGTTACAGTTGCGTCTAAGTATAAGTGTGGTTCCTAATTTGATGGGACCCATTTTACCACATTGTCTAATTTTTTGTAACCCTTTCAGCAGCTTCCCTACCTCCCGACGCTTTCTGGAGGCTCCGATCCTCACGATAGTGGACGCGGTTACCCGCCTACCGCTCATTTACTCCCATCTCTGAGGTTTTACTCATCTGTGGGTTACGGCAAGGTTCACAACTGGCGAATTTACTGCCAGCGCCACCAATCTCATCGCTTATCATTATAACCATAGAGCCCAGGTAACTAGTGCGATAAGTAGTATCTGTGGGGAGAAATCCAAGCCTGCCATTGATTCACAGGGACTACATTTCACACACTGCGGTGTTCTCGCAGCTGGAAAGAACTAACATTCTCGCGATTGATATGCACACGTTTCATGGGCACGGACCACCCTTTAACGATCGCCAATGAACCACCATGCTGTGAATTCTTCCGTTGGGACAGGGTCAAGCTACAAGGAGGGAATCGGACTTGTCTAATGGTAGAGATAGTGTCGTATCCCATGTTCCGTATTAGTCAGCAACAGAATTAAATGCTGTCTTTTTATGCTCGGCTTATGCCTGATAGACTTCCTGCACTTCCCGCAAGATCTCCCTATCTCCAGCTCACTCATTTTAGCTACTTTCATGGTTACAAGCACCCTCTTCTTCTAAGGATTTTAGCCGTACTGACAGCCATTCTTCGAGGCGCCTCCTTTTGAATGTCTCTTCAGTCCGTGTAATACTGTTATGTTTATTCATTCGATAAACGGTATAAAATGTTTTATGCAGTCATCGCCAGCCTGTTCAGATGTCTTCACCATACAAGTCGTACCATTCGTATGTCGTAATCAGAATTCTTTTCCCCTTACCTTACCGCTTCTGCATCTGTATGTAGCTAATAGAAGACCACAAGGTTTCTACCTACAATAGATTTCTCTCGTACCTCTTGATATAATCTCGAAATCCGCGGAATCTGTAATACAGTAACCAGGCTGTAAATTCTTGAAGTACATAGCACAGCAATTCGTCTGTGACCTTGACTTACGTTCTTCAGATGCTTTGTGTATTGTAGAGTCACTGATTTTCTAGTGAATCTCGATCTCGTTGCATGTGCTTACCGTATCCTTGCAGACTGTCGAATTCGCCTTTCCTCGATAGCATTTTGAATAATTTACCCCTCATGTAATGATTTTAGCAGTGTATGTGGCGAGGGCGCGACCGATGGTGTCGCTGGGTGTTGGTGATATGCAGTTTGTTGCCCACGGCTCTACCACAAATTCAGTCACAACAATCCGGTAGCATCAATCAGAATCTTGGAAATCCCGAAGCCGGAACTCTATTCACAGGCACAGGAAGTAATGTCTACTATGGAGGTAAGCTGAAGGTGACGACAGTGGCGACACTCTCTCAGTAATTATGAAATAATCTCACGCTTGAAAAGATCCTTTTTCTCGCTTCATCTATTAGGAAAGCATCCACTCCAATCCTTCTTCTTGTTATGTTTTTTAATGTAAGTCTTCTCGCTCTCACTCTCTTTGCCCTTAGTAAGCTCACGTTGTGTGGTCCCAGATTGAATGAGTGAATAAAGGTT